TTTGAGTGTAAGTAAACTTAAATCAAAAATATATTATGCAGAGGACTTTCAAATTAACAATATCTCAAATGCCGATAATTTGGCTTTTGCAATTTGTCTTTTGCCGATATTAAAGGATTCGTAACATGTGTTTATGACGATTTTTGGTTGTTAGCCACAGTACTTAAAAAGAATGAAATTACTGAGGAGATATATATTACATTTTTACATCCCCATCGACCATCACCATCCTTTTGCACAATTGCGGAAAAAAAAGGCTACCCATTAATCAAATAATAATAGTAGTAGATCCAATTAATCGTTTCAAGAAATTCTATTAATAAGCACAAAATGGGATAAGATTAAAACAAAAGGTATTTATTTTTATATTGTTTGTGTATAAAAATTTTTAAATATGTTTATTTTACAATATAGCGTCAATAAAATAATATCTGTATTGGCTGCCTGCTTACATATCGACCCAGGACATCATTCTTGGTTATACTCAATTGATTTTTTAATTTTAATAACAATCAGGGTTTTGAACCGTTTAGTATAACGGTTCGGTTCGTTCCGGTTTTTAGTTTAAAATTTTATAAAAATTTTGTTCCATTTCGGTTTTTTAAAAAAAAATCATATCGGTTCGGTTTATAATTTATAACGGTTCTTTTCGGTTTGTTCCGGTTTTTATAAATTTAATTTTAAAAAAAATTAATCATTAACCATGTATATATTAATTTTAGAGAAATCTTTTTAGTTTATAATTTCTTATTTAATTTATCCATGATAATCTAATAGATATTTTTATTAAATTTAGGAAATATAAATTAGACAAATTAGTTTTTTTTTATTTCATAAATAAATAAGATAAAAACAAACATGCGTAAATACAATAATCAATAAAATAATATGTATACTATACTATTTAGGTTTAAAAAGAGAATTCGAACGGATAACTAAAATATTTTCTAATATTTCAGGATTTAATTTAGTTCTCTGCGCAGAGAGTATAAACTTAAGGCTTGAAAATGCTCTTTCTACGGAGACCTGCGTAGCTGGAACTGCTAGCACAGTTATAGCTAACTTATAAAGTTCTGGCATACTATTCTTTACATTTTCCCAATAATTCAAAAGATAGTATCTTTTTCTAATCTCTCTATATTATCAAATGACCGAATTATATATTCTATTTCTATACATTTATTATAATTTTCGATGCCCTGAGAATTATTCTTATTAAGACTTTCATGCGACTTTAATAAATCACGAACACGTAGGCATAGTATTTAGAATTTCAATATTCTGATTATTTAGATTTTGTATCAAGTTCCAATTTTTACAAAGATGTTTTCTGGCGATCTCTCTTTCTTCAAAAGTTAAAAATACATTATATCTAGGCTCGAAATAAATAGCAGAGCAAAAAACTTCATTTTTAAAATTTATTTCTCATGCTTTCATCGTAGAAACTAAAAGTCTGGCAAATGGAGTGTCTACTTTACTCGTTTGCATGAGACATTTGATCCACGCAGCATAAAAATCGCCCATTGTCAATTGTTCACTTTGTAAATATTTTGTCAAAACATAAGATGGATGTAAAGCTTTTAATATGTCACCAATTATTTCCCATTCATTCTCTGATAAACATTTTTGATCGCTTTGGAGCGATATTTCTTGGCAAAAGCTTTTTAACTCTAGTAATCTCTCCAACATTAAATAGATAGAGGTACATCTTTTGCAACAATCTATTAGTGGTTTTTTCAAATTTAATTTTGAGAGAATAGCCATTGTTGTCTGATTTCTTATTTTTTTGCAGATGTTTCTTGCTTTATTTATAATGACAATTTCATTTGAATTTTTAATGCAATCATTAATTGCTAATTGAAATGTATGTGAAGCACATCTAACACCTATTAATATGGGTCTGGCATTTGATGCAAGATTAATATTTTCAATATTAAAAGGTTCTTTATTTTCATCATGAATTATATCATTATTATTTAAATCATCATTAATTAAATAATCGTTAAGGTCATCATCTTCTTCATCGTGTAGTATTAATAGCTTAATTAACTTAATCATATTTGCTGCATTATCGGTGGTTATTGTGTAAATCTGCTCAATTTTTATTTCATATTATTTTAAAACATCTAGAATAATTTTTTTAAGATATTCTGATGTGTGTCGTTCTTTAATCACTTTCATGCATAGAGTCCTTAATTTTATTTTTCCGTTATTTATAAATTGAATATTGATCCCCAATATGGACCTATCATATCTAGTTGTTATATCTAATTTTAACGAAATAAGTTTTTGATACACTTCCTTTTTTATATTTTCCGAAAAATCTAACGCCATTTTTTAAATATTATTGCGATATTTTCCGAATTGATAGTTAAATTTCCACCCAATCCTATAATTATTGGATCTATGATATTTCGAAATTCTTTGTCTTCTATTGATTTTATTGGCCTACCGTGAACGGAGCGGATTAAAGTTTCTTTATTTATATTGATTTGTATTGTAGTAGTGTTGGACTTAAAAGCATCTTGGATTGTATTAAACTGGTTTGCAGTTTTCGTTATTTGAATTTTTTTAATAGTCAAATTTTCTTTCTTTTTTCTTAATAATTTGAATTCCCTATTGTGGAATCTTTCTATATGTCGTTCAAGATTTGCAGCATGGTCTCCAGTTAAGATCTTACCACAATCTTCTATTTTACAAATAGATTGATTTTTTATGATATCTAATTTAAAAAGGAACGCAAAGGATTTGACTTTTCCCGAACCATTTAATAGATAACTAAAAAGCTATATGATGATAGATGAAAATCTTTTATTATATAAATGGAATAAATAAAAAAGCTTAATAGAAACAATTTTACCTTCATTTTTATTTTTTTAAATAACTTGGATTATAGAATTTAAATGACAATAAATAAAATGGCCAGCAATAAATATTTTAATGATATAATAATTTTTTATTTAGAAAAATCATATTTTTTTTTAAATTCAGAATTCTAATATTTATTATTAAAATAATATGTTAGTTAGCATTTACCATTATCATATATGCAAAATAAAAAAAAATATGATTAAAGAATGGCATTTGTAATGAATATTTTTCTAAATCTGTATTTTTATATAATAAAAATTACTATAAATCTTCAGTTAACTAACATTGCATTAAATTATTTTATACTTTTATTTATTTGTGTTTTATATTAAATAGACTTACATTTAAAAATAGGAATTACATTTTGATGTTAAACTAAATATAACTAGTATAGTTTAATTCAAATTACCCACTCTGATATATTCTATATAAACTAAGATAAACTTTTTTTGAATATATCAATTAATAAGAAATTATTGTAAAACAATATTATATAAAAATTGGTCAGTACTTTATTTCTGTTAGATGTTAATATAATATGACAGAATAGGTAATTTAAGTTAAACTATAGTATTTATATTTAGTTTAACATCAAAATGTAATTCCTATTTTTAATTCACTGTAAGTTTATTTAAATATAAAACACATTAATAAATAAATAAAAGTATAAAAATAATTTAATGCAATGTTAATTAACTTATTTAAACCATTTATAGTAAGATTTTTATTATTTAAAAATACATATTTAGAAAAATATTCATTACAAATGCCATTCTTTAATCATTTTTTTATTTTGCATATATGATAATGGTAAATGCTAACTAACATATTATAATAATAAATAATTTATAATATTAGAATTCTGAATTTAAAAAAACAATGATTATAAATAAAAAATTATTATATCATTAAAATATTGCTGACTATTTTATTTATTGTCATTTAAATTCTATGATCCAAGTTTTTATAATGAGATAAAAAATTTAATTTAGCCAAGAATAATTATGTCTGATTTTAAGATATCTTATCTAATCTCTTATAAATTAAGTATTTAAAGAAAAAACAACAAACCTGGTATTATTTGATATATAATGTAGATAATAAAAATATTTAATTTGATATATAATGTTGATAATATGGAAATATTTAATTTGAAAAGAAATCACCAATTTAAAAAATGCCCCCAAGGAAAATTTTAAATTTAGGTTAATAATTTAAAATTAATTATTTTTAAAACCGGTTCAAAATATTTATAACGATTCGGTTCGCTCTTTTAATATTTTCTTCATAACGGTTCGGTTAAGGTTACGATTCAGAAAATCATAACGGTTCATTCCGGTTTTGCGGTTCGGTTCGAACCCCTGATAACAATACTATTCATATTTTTATTAAAAATTATATACTATAAAAAAATTTAATATAACACCATCTAATTGCATTTTTTTATTTAAAAATAATAAAATTAAAAAAACAAAAATGGCTATCGAGATTTTTTATTAAATCGTTTAATATAAAGGTAATAAACATTTTTAGTGAATATTAACACCCAAAAAAAATCCATTCCTAACAATGTTAAATTTTTTTTTATATTTTCCAACGTAAAATTTTAAGTGCTATAAAATGATATATAATTTATAACTCTATCTTAAGTATTTTTTAAAATAATAAGATTTAATGAAATCAAGCACTTCGCGATTTTCGACTTTGAAGGCATATATCTTTGGATCTGGTTGAGCTAGCACTCTAAAATTTTGATTTTATTAACATTTACAAAATAAATAACTAACATGCCAAGTTTCATTCATTTTTGAGATGGTCGGCCGAATCGCTGGTCGATTTGTCATAATTACCCATTTATTTCAGCAAGCTTTTTTGTACTGGGCATCGCTACATCTGTAGATGTAAATTTTGAAAAAAGTAAATTCTAATTGAGCAATTTCTATTTTGTATTATACAATTATTATTCTAAAGCGCTCTCCATTTTGTCAAGGAAGTTAATTACATGATAGAATGATTATGACAGTGTTAAGGGATACCGATAAGAACAATTTGGACATACTTTTTCATTATATTATTTTTATTATATTAAATGACTTTCATATATATTTTATTAACCTCCTCCCCCACAGATTTTTGACTAAGCTGAAATATATGTTGCCAAAAAAATTAGCCAAAATAGCTCCTATTATAATATCCTCACAGTATACTCTTAGTAAGAAGCGGTTGTTCCGCTCTTCTGAATATGATACATCTGCTGAAGAATAATAGATTTTATTATATTTTTTTATACTTAAATATTAAATAATATAGATTCATTCATTAGGAAATTAGTTAATTTTTTAAAAATTTACATTGAGTATTTAAAAAATCAGTTATTTTTTTAAAAAAACATTATATTTGATAAAAATTTTCATTATAGTATTTATATCTTATTTATAATTTACTTGTATGTTTTTTGTAGCCCTTTTAACTCAAAGACTAAATATTATTTCAGAGATTATAATTTAAAGAAATACAAATAAAAATTTTATATTTATTATATTTAAGGCATTGATTTTTCTTTTATTACAGAATATTATTGTCCCATGCAAAATGATAACTCATGAAAAATATATTTTGTATTAAATATTTATAACTATGAGAACGAAGAAGCCTCATATTATTCATAATTCATATTGTAATAACTTAGAATTTTTTTGTTTGCTTATGAAAAATTTAAACCTAAACTATTTTGTTAATTTTATATTCTTATCTTAGCAAGATGATGTAATATATTATTGTATAATGTAAAGATGATATAATTTATTATTGTATAATGTATTTTTATCATCATCAAATTTAAAATAAAAAAAAAAGATTTATAAAATTATATAAAAAAAACTCAAAAACAAACAAGCAAAATCTTAAAGAACCAAAAATATAATATATTTGCTATTACCCTATAAAATTTTAATATACACCTTATTTTATCATTTACGTAATATTTAATAATACTATACTATAATAATATCAGTTAGTGAAATGTATAAAATTTAAAATAAAACTACTTTTGAAAGTCTTTTATTTGATTATGATAGTCCTTTGTTTCTGGACTCTCTGTACCATAGTTGTTTAACAATACATTTTAAACGTGTCAATGCGAATTTTTAAAAAAGACTTCTCGATTAAGATAAAATAGATATATTCCCTACAATATAATAAGAATCTATATAAGTTATGGATATAACTTTTTATTAATCATTTTCAACACGAACACTTACATATAAGGCCTCCTGATTTTTAAATCCTGCCCGAATTTTAGGTCTCAACTAGGAAATAAAAATATAAAAAGCAAAACTAAATCTACATTTATATGATTTTCGAGCAAGTTGATATGATTTAAATTTATTATAAAAAAGTTGGCTCGACCCATGTTTTTTAATTGTTTTATCTATAGGCATGACCAGGACTTGCAAATTTGTCTATCTTCATCCCAAATTTTTAAATCATACCATTCTACATTTTAGTGTCGGAGATACGGGCTGGATCTGTAGATTCTGATATAATTTTCAATTAATAGATAACTAAAATGTGATTTGCACAATAATACATTTCAAACTTTTTTGAATAGGAAGTTTATTGGGGAGAATGTCGAAATAGCGTTTATAATTGATAAATAATAATTATTGTTTAACGTTTGCTTACGCTCAAAATTTATTTTTAAAATAACTAAGCTTAAATCTTTGAATAATATAATACCCATCTAGCCACTGGATTAAATTTGCAAAACAATAAAAGATTTAAAATAAAATAATTTGGTAAATATCAAAAAAATATATAGGTTGTTAAATATGTTAGCGTCAATGTGTTATTTGTTTTTCCTGCAATGTGTTTAGTGTTGTTAATTTGCTTGGTCGTAAAATTTACAACCCAATTTTGTGCTCATGCTTGCTCTAAGCACGAACCCTGAGCACAGACCCAGGGGTCCAGACCTGGCACAAGAACCCATTTATTTTTAAATTTTTTTTTGAACTTAGTAGGAAGGTATACATAAGATTTATTCATTAAAAGAACAAGCGTTCCTTCTAGGTCTCGCTCGATAGGCTAATATGGCTAGGTGTTTTAATTATATACTGTAGTCTACTATTAATCATAATTATTATTATGAATATTTTTAACAACATGATATTGATATTATGTATGGGCGTCAAATAAAAGGTGTTTTAATTAAATTTTGCTTTATTACTTATTATTATATTAATATTCGTCTTATGAGGTATTTTTAACAATGCAAAATATTGATATGGGCGTCAAATAAAAGGGAATTTAATTATATCTTGATTGTAATCTAAATTATTATTCCAGGATTATTTTTAACAATGCACTATTTATCCGCAATTTGAAAATTTTGACCTGGAAACCCTGTTCACATTATTTAATAAATATATATTTTATTATATAATATTTTATATTCCAGGCACAAAAACCCATTTATTTTTTTAAATCATCTCAGGTTTTTAAAAAAAAATATTTAAGCCTGGTGTACGGTAAACCGTTGTTTAATATTGACTGCATTCTACATAATTTTTTGAATTCAAAACCATTGGCGATATCATATTTCATTTGAAAATCGATGTTTTAAAATAATTGGGATAAAATTGATATTTCGATTGATAATAATATCCATTTCTCACTTCAAAATTGACGGCCATTTTTTATAAAAATTAATGTTTGAAAATAAATTGGGTTAGTTTAGTATGACTACAAATAATATAGATTGCTAATATATTAAGTTCTCTCTTTAAAAATATTGGCGTATTTAAACAATAATTAGTGTTTTGGAACTAAAATGAATGCGATTAATGCCAGGAAATTTCAGAAGCAATAAATCCTATTCCTCCTTCTATTGGATCTTATTTTAAAATATAATTCAAATAATAAAAAAAAAAAATCCCTAATATCAAAGTTTCTACACATGGAATACAGTTCCGGCAAAATCAGATTAAAAATTTAAAGAACCCAATTAATTATTTAAAATGCAAAAAATAGAACAAAATACCCATCATACTTTCACCTTACCTTAATTTTGATTACCTATATATGGATTTTCATTATAAATTGTTAAAAAAATTTTTTTAGCATAATCATATGAAATTCTCAGAGTAGATTCTCTTCAGAATAAATTTGGTAAATTCACATTTATCAGGGAAATAAAAAACGCGCAATTAAATCAGACCCAGCCTTAAATCCGGCTCGGGTACACGGACCGGGCTGTATTTTAATTTTTTTAAATATACCCGGACCCAGCCTCAATTTTATTTTTTAAATACAAGGGCCAGGCTTATATTTTAAAACCACATATTTTAAATTACCATTATTATCTATGATATAATATATTTTAAAGAAATTCGAGCCGGGCAGTGCAGTTTAAAATAACTCACAAATTATTAAATATTGATAAAATTTCTAAAAAATTGACGTAAGACTGGCTTAGTTGCTGATATTTAAACTGGCTACTCTACTAGTTAAAGCAAAGCACTAATAGGAACTGATAAAGAAAGAACATTTTCATAATTTTAACATTTTGTCCAGCATATTTTAAAAAAATAACCTAAAAAAATAAATTTCAACAAGTTCCTATTTTTTTTTTATCGTATAATGTTATTTTTTGCCATGCCATAAATAAAAAAGGCAGTTACATTTTACATACATCCTGTTTTTTTTAATATTTTATTATTTTTTGTACATATTTTATTTTTTAAGTAAAGTTCAAAATTTAAAAAAAAAGAAGGAGCTTTTATAAGTAAAGAAGTATAATTATGAACAATCGAAATTAAAAAAACAGATGGAAGGGGGATTGGAAATATAGTTAAATATTTATAAATAAAAATTAGGATGTGAAAGAAAGTTATTAATAGTATAATTATTATAAATATATTCTTATTTTTTCTCAAAAATATCATCATGAGATCAAAAAGATTATTTACCGGTTGACTAAAAAACGTTAGTAATTCTAAAACGCGTCATCGTTCTTTTTATGAAATCTATTTTATTAAGTGCCGATAACTGAGAATTATACCGTAGGAACAAATTAATTAAGTAAGTTAATTTAATGATATACTGGCCATCTGTCAAGATAAAAAAAATAAATCAGATATATTTTGACAAAGTAACTGCTAAGTATTTAGTATCTAGGTGACAATTGACAAACTTATGATATTAGAAATTTTGATATATATTTTTTATGAGAAATTATTTTTTCATGGTTAACATAAACATCTTAATAATCGCATAATGTGATATTTTATTATAATTTATTTAAACAAATATATATAATTATAGTATTATGATAAATATAATGAAATAAAAAATTATATAATATACATTTAAAAAATATATATATTCTCCAATCCAAACGCATATAAAATATTATGTTAAAAATTCGTATTCCGTTATATAAAATTGTCATATTCCTATTACGAGTGAGTCTTGCACGGTAGAGAGAACATACATAAAGCCCCGCTTCAAATAATATTTTAACAAATATGTAAATATTAATAATTTTATTGAGATAAATAATATTATTATATGACATGCATGAACATGATACTTAATATTCTTAAACGGCGAGAATTTAACCAAATAAATATTCGCGTGCCTGCACTTAGCTAAATTTAAATTTTTTAAAATTGACTGCATTTGAGACTTTTAACAACACGAATAATAAATTAAACTCAAAATAACCTATTAACATAAATATTTATTAGATATTTTACTTAAATAAATTTCTAAATAAGTGATATTTTATATTTCTATTCTGACCTCTCTAATTGATGTATGTTTAATAATAATATTATTCCATAAACTGTTATACCTGAGAAATTAATGCCATATGTCATCACGAAGAGACATTATATCTGTATCCCAGGAAGAGAGTGACATACATTCCTTTAGCGTCGATGAGGCCATCCTGTTCCTCAGTTTTGTCATAATATTTCCGGCCAAGGAAAAAGCTCTTTCCGATGCCACTGAGGTTGTCTGTTGGCATAGATAGTCCCTGGCCATCATTGCTAAATGAGGAAAACGAACAGCATTTCCTCTCCACCAATCTAATATATTTATGATCTCGGACGCGAGTGGCTCATTGAGGTATGTCGATAATTGATTATTATCATTAGTGACACTTGATGCTCCTTTTCTAAATATGGATATATTTAAAATATCAAAAATTATGGATTAACATAGAACATTTAACAAATATACATTTTTTTCAATCCCTGCAATATTGAAATAGTTTTAGAATTTGAGATATCGTTATTATTATCAAAATTATACGCATCTGGCTCTGACGTATATTTTGCAAAGTTTATTTTAAATATATCTAAATATTTATCTGCAACGTCATCCTTTAGATTTGTAATCAGAGTATTTTTGATCCTAGGATCAAGTAACGACGCTGCGTAATTATATGGAGTGAATATATTATCACTATATTCTTCAGCTTTCTTTAACATAATAGTGGCTGCTTCTTTTATTGACAAATCAGAATATGCCACGGTATGATTTTTTAAATTCTCCAATATATCATTGAAGAATAATAGGGTCATCCCGATTGTGGGAGAATGAGTGGATATTTCTACAATTATTTGATAAAATGGTAGAAGAAATTCTTCCAACTCTAGGAAGAACGAGTATTCATCAGAAGATGGCGTAATATCCTCCCCTATT